TAGGGATTTATAGGGTGGGGTTGATTATCTCGAAAGAGGCACTTCATACAATTATGATAGAACTTCACTTAGGTAAATTCGTTTAATCATATAATTGTATTACGCGCCTCTTTCTCGAGATCAACCTGTAAATGTTCAACTACTTGTTACGGCGATAAAACGGAAGTAAAGTAAAAAAGAGCCTTTATAAACAGTACTTTACTCAGAACTATTTTACATGTAAAGAATAGAACATTTTTCCCTACTCCAAACACGACTATCTTTTTTAATCATCTAGTATCGTGTTAGCAAAAGAATCAGTAGGATTCAATAACGGTAAAACATAAAATTTGGCAAAAGTTTGCGAGTTGACAGTCCAATCCCCCGTTCGTCTTAAAGTATCTAAATCAAGTCCCTTTCTCTTCGCCGCTGAAGTCGACGCGTGTCTCGTGGAATAAGCGGTGAAAATATCTGTGTCTAACCCGCTTTTACCCAGAACTTCCTTGATCCAACGGCTAAGTGATTGAGCTCCAACAGCCCCAAACGGTTTTTTAAATGACACGAACAGCGAACTTACTAACTCTCGAATACTCACGGTCCTCGCGATATAACACTCCAGAGCCGAAGCAACACAAACTATGACGTTTGCTGAATAAAAAGGGAACACCAATACGGGTTGATTCCTGTTTTTGCTCGATGTTTTTATATGTGCAGGAATATTTATTTCTATTGCATTACTTTCACGCTGAATATTTTCTAATTTTATTAGCGAAAAGGTTTGCATTCGATGACCCGTAGTAAGAGCGAGTAAGATGATAAGTTTTAACGACAAGTCTCTCAAGTTCATTTTCTCATTTGGCAGCAACGTAACTAAATAATCTAAGACCATCTTCGGATCCCAAGTTGAACTATACTTAGGCCTCGACGCCCTCAATCTACTCATCGCCTTGAAAAACCTTTTTAACCTGAAATCGTGAGCTAGCTCTGGCCCTACGAGCAACGAAATAGCGGATCTATAGGAATTCAATGTGCCCTGAGAACCTCCCTTTTCAAATGCTTCTGTCAGAAAAGTTAAAACATCTGGAACAGAATTTGAGTACGGGCTGATTTTTCTCGTTTAGCAAAAAGACCACGATTTCCTCAAAGCGGAATCATATTGTTTCCATGATGAGTCGCTGAGCGATGCCAACAATATTCTCATTGAATCTTTTGGAACCTCCTTCATCTCGAAGCTCATCCGGACAAGACTCCTGCAATCAGGGTAAGGTTCTTCCAAAATTTTGACGCATTCCTGTTGAAGCAAACAATTATACTCGAATTAGGTCTAAACTTTAACGGTTCTGAGATTAACAGGGACTGAAAAATAGGGAACCACGGTTGAGAAGGCCATTCAGGTACCACAACAATACCCTTTGATCTCTCATTCTTAATTTTTTGCAAGACTCGCGGAATGATCGAGAATGGTGGAAAGGCGTAAAAGAAAAAGGGTTTGCAAAAGAGCGTAAACGGATCCACAGCAAATGCGTCCGGGTCCCTATGCCAGGATACATAAATCGCACATTTGGCATTTACTCGACTCGCAAATAGATCGATGTCTGGTCTACCATACAATGCGCTTAATTTCTCGAAGGCTCCACGCGACAGCTTGAACTCGGTGTTAGACTCTAATTTTCGCGATTCTGTATCAGCTTCATAATTCATTTCGGGTGGAATGTACGACGCAAAAATCCACAAATTTCTCTGCTCGCACCATTTCCATAAGTTTTTAGACAATCTATTCAATTTTTCGAACTGAACGCCGCCCATTCTGTTTATGTAGGAAATCGCGGTCGTATTATCAACTCGGAGCAAAATCTGTTTATCGTATAAATGATCTGCAAAAGATTTCAAACTAAAGAATGCTGAAAACAACTCCAAAAAATTTATATGTCGAGCTTTTTCTTGCGATGACCAGTGACCGTGCGTTTTCTCGTTTGTACTTTTGCAGAAAGCTCCCTAGCCTGAGAGAAAGGCGTCTGTAAATAATTCTAGATCGAACAACGAATTTCTAATTGGCTTAGGAGACACCGAACCAGTCGCCCTCCACCACTCAAGTTCATCCATAACATCTCGAGTGATAGCTATAAGATCCTCATAATCATCATTATTCTCACGAAGTGCGAGATATTTAGCCCTCTTGTATGCCTTAGTATAAACCATACCGTACTTTACCGCTGGACAGTACGAAACTAAAGTGCCCACAAGTTTAGCGAAATCTCTAATCTTATATTCTTGATTTACTCTGAACTTTCTGATTTCGCTTCTGAGCCGAAGTTTCTTTTCCGTCGGTAATTCAACTGTCATCTTAACGGAATCATAGACAAAACCGAGAAATCGACAAGTTTTCTTCGTTGTCATCTGACTTTTCTTGTTATTAATGACAAAACCTAAAGATTCGAGAAACAAACTAGATTTCGTTACATTAATTGAACATTGCTCAAATGAGTCTCCTATTAAAAGAATGTCATCAACGTAAATGACCGAAATTAAACCCGACTGGCGTAAGTAAGCTACTACGAGTTTTAACATTTTAGTAAACACGCAAGGCGCAGTTGACAAGCCAAACGGCAAACACGTGAACTCGTAATACTGCTTATCGAAAATAAATCTCAAATACTTCCTATGAGATACGTGGATCGGAATTGTATAATAGGCGTCGTTAAGATCGAGAGTTGCCAAGAAAGAATCAGGACTCAATAACTTTGAGGCCGTTCAACCATCTTCGAATTTAAAATGAGTGGTTTCAACGAACTGATTCAGAGCCTTCAAGTTTAGAAAAAACCTACTGGATCCATCCGGTTTAGGGACTAGAAAATAACTTGAGACAAATTGACCCTCGCTCGACTGACACGGCTGAACTGCACCTTTAACTATTAACTCGTCAATTAATTGACTGATTATTGACCTTTCATTAATTGTGAAATTCCAAACACTCGAAGGCACGGTCTGTTTTATTTTTTGTGCAAAAAGGGATCTTATAACCCATCAACCAAGACAAAACTTTTTCGTCAGAGGTTATATTTTACCATTTATCTTTGAAGAGACCGAGTCTACCGGCTATAAAGCTTACACCAACCTCTAACGTTTCTTCAAGTGATCCCGATCTCGGTTCCGATCGCGATCGTGTCTCTGGTAGCGAGGTTTCTGAACAAACTGCGACTGCTTCTTTTGTAACAAGTGATACCTCGGCTTCTGTCCGCTCGACGCCGCTGGATAATTCCTGGCCTGAGGTTGACGGGGCGGGAATTTCAAGTTTTTTGTTTGTTTCAAAGGTTGCGATCTTTGAGCGACCTTGAGCTCCCTGCAGGAACTTTCCAACGTTTTTGCATTCTTCAATACCTCTTCCAAATTGCTTCTAAACAAAAATTCTCCGCAGCCAGATGCGTTGACGGCGTCTCGAAGAGATGCGTTGATATTGGCTAATATCAGGCTTCGACGAACAAAAAATTCATCGTGTTGCAGATCCGCCAATAATTGGATCAAGTTCAACAAGAATTTAACTAAAGCCAGCATTTCAGGATTCTCCTTCCCCTTCACAACAATAGACATTGCCTGCATTGCAAGCACCAAGGAAGCAGTAATCTTTTCCTGTTTCTTCCGAATGCGGTCATCCCTCTTCGTAACTAACTCCTGGACAACAGATTTGAACTCAGGATTTAGTTTGGAAGGATCAATGGACGTACAGTTACTAGGAGGTGGATATTTCTTCAAAACCTCTACTTTAATTTCCTCCGACAGACCCTTCTTAATAACATTTTCGCAGCGTACCACCAGATCTTTAAGAACTGGGGGACCAAAGACTCTTTCTTCGCAAATACGCTTGCCAAAAATGTCTAAAATATCAGAACTTAACGCAGCTTCTATGTTCAATACCGCTGGCTCACCAGAATCTACCAGTGGCACATCATTGACAGGGATGTTCCGTAGATTTGTCAACTGACTCGTGGAATCCAGCAAAACCCGATGCATCTGACCTGCATGGCTGTCATCTGCCGGGTTGTCCTCTTGTTCACTCCTATATGGAGGAATTGAAGAAACACACCGATCTAAATTGAAAGATCTCGCTCTGAAATATCTGGGACGGTCACGATTTGGAAATCTAGACCGACAATAATAGGTTAGTCCTGAACATTGTCTCATATTTCTCATATTCAAAATATGAGTAACTTTCTAACAATCTTACATCCGCTCGACGACGACTCGTCGGTAACCGCGTCACTCGATCTATGCCTACGACGATGGCTCTTCCTCTTCTTTTTCCTCCTCAGCTTTCTATTTTCCTTTTCCAACTTCTTGAGACGTCTCTTGAGATCCTTACTTTGGTTTTCCCCACATCGGAATAATCTCCTCTATGCCCTTTGCGAAACATTTACACAGAAGAGAAGAGGAATTCTCTCATTAACAACATGGCTAATCGGCACAAAGCGAAAGAATGAGGCTTGACGGGCGTGCAGACATGAGAGGCGATGCTCGCCCCTTTTTTGATTTTTAGCTTTGAAGTTTGTAGCAATATCGGCGGGAAGTGGGGGTAGTAGAGGTTGATCTCGAGAAAGAGGCGCGTAATACAATTATACTTCTCTTCGACAAAGAAGAATCGTTAATGGAAAGCAAATTTTTAATTGATGTTTTAACTATGTGTACATATTTAAGTTATTTGAAGTGACTGAAAGCATTCTGTGAACCATACGTGTATGAAATATGTGTATAAGGTTAGGTATGTATAAGGAAGGTAGGTAAATAATTAATTATGATAGAAAAAAACAAATATTGAATTTATGTTTGAAATGTTTGGATTGGTAGTGTGTGAATATATATATATATATTGTAAACACAAACATACTTTTATACATACAATATCTTATGGAATGCACAATATATGATATTGAACAAATAAAGGACCAAAAGTTGTTTTCATTTGTATTCATTTAGTCATAATAAAATCTAGAATTTCTTCAATTCGATAAGGTTGTGACGATCTTTCACTAGTTTACCTCATTCGATTTTATCGCTTGTTGCCCACTCGTGAGTCGAAATTTGTATTTAGATAAGATCCTAGAGTCGGGACAACGACAAGTCGAGGGGAGTATGACGCGGCGCCACGGGAATTCGAATTCATTAAAATTAAAACATCGTTAGCGTCAGGGAGAGCCGTTAATGCCGAGGTCGATGATGTTTTCCCATGCAGCAGGAACGCGTCCCGCGATCGTTAATTAAAAATAATGATACGCAGCACTTCGACGGCTCGGGAACGGTAACAATGTGGCCTGAAGATGCGCCCACTCTCTGCGAAATTATTTTGCGTGAAGGGAAAAGACAGGACTCGCGGGTTGGACGTCACAGATCCCACGTGGCAGGGTGAGATAGGCAGTATCCGTTCGCCACGTGAGGACAAACCGTGGCCAGGAGTTGCGAGGAGCGGTGGTGGGAATCGAATTGAACGGAGGGCGCAATTCTGCTCATTAAAACTCCGGTAATTAACGGGGCGAGAAGTACGATCTGGCACCCCACATGCCCGTTCGTCTGTTTTTAAAGCAACGGGGGTCGCCGCTGAAAACGGTCAAGGAATAAGGCACGGTGCGAGTGAAAAGTTAAGGAAAGGGGCGAAAAAGCTAAACCAAGTCTTCCATCGATGAATTAGACATCGAAAACATCGACTTCTGTAGCATTCAATGGAGAGTCAATGCGTTGTTCGATCTTTCCTCGCGATGTATTCTGCTACTCTTGTGATTTGTATGTAGGATATTATGAAGCTGTGGGAGCGAGAGATTGTTATATAGAACTCCTACAAAGTTCTAAATATTTATTTTATCATAAAAATTATAATTTGTGTTGCCCATATTTTGTTTGTAATTTGTAGGGTGTTTTGAAGTCGTGAAAGTGACAGATAGTTAAATAGAACTCTTACAGTATTCTAAATATTTAGGGCTCTAAATCGTTTTTTATCATAAGAATTATAATCTTTTGTTGTAGTTCTTTTTCTTGTGATTTGTAAGGTGTTTTGAAGTTGTGAAAGTGAGACGTTGTTATATAGAACTCATATTAAATTTTTAGGCGCCTATATTTGAAAACTTGTAATCTTCTGCTTTAGTAAGTAGTTTAGATGACAGAGGTAAGTAATTTCTTTGAAGATTTGTGAACAAACAGCAAAAAATTGTCGTTTTATTAACTAAAAATAACTACTAGGGTACGTGGTCCCATTAGAGGATACAATTACCTTTAATTTCAAACGAATACATATAAACCCGAAATGAAATACAGATTAATTACACGAGAACGGAATAATATGTTCGATTAAAAATTACTTCAATTAACTTAATGATCTGTTTTTAAATATTCAGCTTTCTAGCTTGAATGTCAGCACTGCGTTTTTTATTTTGTGTATGTTCTGTAATTGGCATTTCGAAAACTTAGAATAGTGATTCTTAGCCTTTTAAGGTCCTAGCTGATTATAGTAGAATTTTACTCTTTTTTGGTTTACAGCACAATTTAAAAAAAATATCTCGTATACTTTTGTATTAGGGATAATCATGAAAGTAATAAGAATATTTATGTTGATTGCCAGATCCAAAATAAATATTCTAAGAGATATGAACTGCCATATTGTATGTTCTCAAAATTTACTTCATTATTTTTACTTGACATACATTAACGATCAAAACTTAGTTTTCAACCGATTAGAATTAAACTCCGTGAGGAGTAGTTTTATAGTGTCCTCTGGGCGTGTGTAAAGTTACATGGGCGAGGGTTGATGCGAAGGAGTTAATTCACCCCCTTAAAGGGGGGCATGTCGAAAAACATCACTTTTGAAGGTGCCAGGAGTAATGGAAAAGGTTAAAAAAATTCAAAAAACCTTTAGGGCGACTCTGCTTGATGCCCTCTACAAAATGCACCCCATGAAATCGCTCTCGGACAAACCGACCCCTCACAACATCCCACCCCCTCTAAAATCCACAATTTTTGGACGACGATCTCGATTTTGGACTCAATGCATTCTCTGGACTGTTCTGATCCAAAAAATGCCATCACCCTTAGGCGCCCTTTGGGGGGAGGGGGTGGAACAGCTGCAAATTTTCAACCCTCTTCGTAAAAAAACACTTCCACGCATCGGAGGGCGATGAAATTCACTATGTTTGTTCTCGATACGTTAAGGATGAATGCCGAAAAGGTCCCGTTTCGAAAACTGCCCCCGGAGCTGAAGGGAGAAGGGGGAGGGTAGAGGTAAGGGTGGTCCACCCCCAAGTGTAAGGGTTGGAACGTTGTTTCGTTGCATGGATCACATGTCCTACAGTCCAGGGCATCAGGGTGACACAGTTTTGACGTCTCTTTCCCGCGTGAATGGCAATAAAATACGAAAATGTCGTTTTTTGGGAAAACCCACCTCCAAATTCAGGCCCATCTGCGGGGTGAATTCGTGGATTCGGACTCGCGAACCTGTACGTGGTCAGACCACACCGGACCCCAATTTAACGTGGGCTGACCTCGTACGGCTGCAGGCCCTCGCTCCACTTCTGAACGCCGGCTCCGTCCGGCCCACTTATTACTCTTTCAAATCTGTTCCGATTTGACAACGAAAGTGTGATTGAAAAAATTTGATTTTTTGGGAATCTGTTAATAAAGCATTCGCGCGTCCGAATCCACGAACGGCGTTGACATGGGGTTACTCGTTCACCCTGCAGATGGACCTGAAGTTGGGGGTGGGTTTTCCCAAAAAAACGACATTTTCGTATTTTATTGCCATTCACGCAGGAAAAAGGCATCAAAACTGTGTCAGCCTGATGTCCTGGACTGTAGGACATGTAATCCACGCAGCGTGATAACGTTCCAACCCTTACACTTGGGGGTGGACCACCCTTACCTCTACCCTCCCCTTCTCCCTTCAGCTCCGGGGGCAGTTTTCGAAACGGGACCTTTTCGGCATTCATCCTTAACGTATCGAGAACAAACATAGTGAATTTCATCGCCCTCCGATGCGTGGAAGTGTTTTTTTACAAAGGGGGTTGAAAATTTGCAGCTGTTCCACCCCCTCCCCCCAAAGGGCGCTTATGGAGAGCACGGTATGGGTGATGGCATTTTCTGGATCAGGAGAGTCGAAATCGGTTGAAAACTTCCATGTTTTTGAACCGTTTAAATGTTTGTCCGCTAAGTTTTGATCGTTAGTGTAGATTTTGTAATTAGAATTTTCAAAATTCACAACATTTAACACTCTATTCTTTTATTAGTTTAATTGAATGATTTTACATTATTCATTATCTATGGTAAGCACTTCATTTTACAAATTTGCTCAATTTGTTTTATTCTTCCGTACATTATACTATCTTACATATTTGTGAGTAATAACAATCATCTTGCACACCGAAGAAGAATTTAAAGTTCGAAAAGATTTGTGTTAAATGTACTATGTTTGATACTATAGTTCAATTGTGTATATGCTGTGTTAACGCTATCAACATATCTTATTCGAAAAAAATTAACTGCTATTTTGGATTTGTGAAATTTAAAAAGCAACCAGGGCTTATGAATCGAGAACGCTTGCTATTATCGCTCGTCAAGAGAAATATACACATCGACTATAAAGATAATTAAGGTATGCATCCCTCCTAGTTCGTGCTTTAGTACCTCCTCTCGTTTTTCTATCTTCAAAAAACAAATAAAATCACGACAAACGCGGCATTCAATTGACCAGTATTTAATTAACGTTATCGTTGCATCAGATCGATTTCCGTTTGATTATTTATTGAACGGATAACACGCTTATTAAATTTCGATCCCAATAGTGAAGCACTGTAACGCGTATAGGCATGCGCTCGCGTGGAACACATTTATCCGTAATAACGTCATTTGGCAATAAGTTACTTATTAAAAACTCTGAACGGCATATTCAGCGTAATCCCATTAAACGGTCATTAACATCGCGCGCAATTGGCAGCGCGGGCAAAATGTCGCCGATTATTCGAACGGCGAAATTCAATTGGATTCGAGGGGATTTCGGCCTAAAATAAAATGAAACGATGCTAAACTAAGTGCAATTAAATGATCATACG